CTTGGTGGATTTTAGTATAATTTTGCCATCTTCCTCAGGAAGAAAGAGAATCCTGGGCAGCCACTTGACAGAATCACTCTGGCAAGAGTTCTCAAACAGGCGCCCTACAAATAATTGACAATGAATCTACTCTGACTGTCCCAGCAACAGAAAGGAAAGGCAGGACACGACTTACACGGGGAAGGGAGAAAGAATTAATGGCGACTTCTTCAAAGACGGTTGCTTTTTCTTTCCTTTTGCTCACGATGAGGACAATGCATCAAGTTAACTGATGTGGCTGTGTCTGGGGTGGGGAGGAAGCGGGGAGATGACGCTAAATACTTACGAACTGCTGTGGGAAAAAATACAATCTTGCTACAGCTAATCTTAAATCTCGAATTCAAAATTGCCAGTGGCTTTCTGCAGATGCAACTTAGAGTTCCAAAATTACTCTAAACATCAAATTATGCCTAGGTCACCGAATGGGTGGATACCCTATATTCTGTTTAATGTGTATGTTCAATTGCACATACACTTTAACCGACCGTGTCTTTATTTTAATAACAGGCCGACTACTGAAAACACATAAAGAGAGGCTATTTTTCTACCTCAGCAGAAATACAGCTGATACACTACATGACCCTTCAGGAGCGACTGCTCTATTTATTCTATTTAAGTGACATAAGCGGATTGGAAAAGGAGGGGGAAATCGGGAACAAGATCTGAAATCCACTTTTAAGCATCAGTTGTGGAAAAGAAATCACTGCCTTGCTTTTCTTAAGCTTCAGGTTAAACTAAAAGTCTCTTCCTTGTTACATATTAGAAACGCGTTTACATTTCCTCGTAATTCCTAGTGAATCATACTGGAACAAAAGGCAACATTTTCCAACTATTCTGCCACAGAAAATAGAGTCACGCACTGCTGGTGCTGGAACTAACAAGGATCCGCAGCTCTCGTGCTTCTGTATCTCAAAACGTTCAATTCTTCCAAATAGCTACGTGCTTCCTTTTGGCAGCAAGGAGATACCCCTCATCTAGGTAGGAAGACCATCTGAAACTTAACCTACCCTTCTGCTCAATTAGTAAGGACAACTGGAACTTGCTTCCTTGCTCCTTTCAGGATTCCATAGAGAGCTTAATGCCACCTGACTGCTTAGAGCAGAATAGCAGAGCTGAGCAAGCTCTACTCTTCCAGCTGCATGTAAGTGAGTTTTGCTCTCTATTAAAGTATGCTAAATCCTTGTAAGAGATACAGAAGACAGCAAAGATCCTATGACATTTTTTGCAGAAACAGAATGGATTTTGACAAACAACTCTTTAACCTTGGTCAGCACGTTTGTTGCCCCAAAGAGAGATCAGAACAGCTCTCTCCCTGTACCTGAGCAACATGGCTGTGACACAGCAGAGCCTCCAAGGGCTCACCTCAGCGAGAGCCACCATCCATACTACCCGTGCACCCGACTCCACGTAAGCACGGGAATCGCGCTGCAGATCAGCGTCCCGATCTCACCTCTTGGTTTGAACTGTCTCTGGGTTTTTTTCTCCGTTAATATTTTGTAAATTAAATCGTATTATAGATTGTGAGTCCCTTAACTGTTATTTCTATCAGACTGCATCAAAATAATCTAACCGGCAATTTTTTCTGCAGTCATTTCCTGCCCCAAACCTGAACACGTTCCTAGGCTGTATGTTGGTTCTACGTTTGCACCTCAGCAAACCGAATTTCAGACCAGCTCTGCCCGTACCGTGGCACTGTAAGATGTGCTCAGAGGCTGCAGATGCTCATTCTCTTGGCTCTTCCTAACAAACACACAAAAGCGCACATCCACTTACGCACAAACAGGTTCGTGAACTGTGGTCAACAATTTTACAAATATAAGTTTCTTAGCCATTAATGATTTTTTTTCCCTAAATCCTTATGGAGTGAATTACAAACTGCAAGGAGACGCCAATTCTAGTAAGTGAATGTTACCCAACAGAGACATAAAGCTGTCAACACCACGGTGCTCTTACTTGCTTTAAACTCTCTCCCAGGCTTCATATGTTTTTTAAAGCAATATTAGCCTTTTTTGTTGTTGTCTTCCCAGGAACCTTTATAAATCTGCCTCTCCTGAGCATCTGAACACTTGTGCTTCCTTGTATATGAGTTATGGAACAGCCAAGTTGGATAGCTGCTGAAATGTTTTACAGAGCACTGGGCTGGTCAGGGCAAACAAGAACTGGACTCTAACACCTAGGACTGACAGTAACATTACTGTGAGCAGCACCGGAACTTCTAAAGCCCCTGTTAACTGCAGCCTCTAAGAGCCTGTTTATCTTTTTTCTGACCTTTGCAAGTTTATTACAGCTGTGTAATGGCCTCTGAATTAAGTGCCTTCAGTTTAGGAACGGGGAAAAAAGAAAAAAAAAAAAAAGGAGAGTCATAAAAACAAAATTTATCTTGAGAACAACTGCTCTTCTGCCTGCACTACAAAAGCTGATATCTATACATTTCTCCACTCATAAACCTAGACGAAAAGCTACAAATACCTACAGCAATATAATATTTCTCTATTTCTCAGGGAGTCCCTTAAAAAGAAAATGGGAGTAAATGTAACTGTGACTATAAAACCTTTACCAAAGGTCATCATTCTCATCAGAGCACCAGTCAGTTAGAGCTTATTTTTCTGTTCTCAGGGATTTTGTTCACGAACACACAGTATCAGACCAACAAGACACTTGACAGGGAGAAAGGAGTGTCAGCATTTACATCCCTAAGGCCCAAAAGAACTATTAGTATCCGTCTTTGCTTTCAAACTCTTTATATATACTTTACAGAATTAAAAAAATAACAAACAAAATCCAAACTAAAATGGTCTCTAGCTTCAGTAAACTATTTCAATTTTTTTTTTTTTTTCCTGAAGTTCACGTTCCATTGATTTTAGCACTTATTTTGAGGCTGAAATGTAGGAACAAACTGAAACACTGACAATCAAAGCCCTGGATGTCATTTCATTACATCCTTCAGTAGTTCCCTTTTTATCAAAACCAGGAACAGCACTAAAAGGGCCTTTATCAATATTTGTTTGAAGAGAAGTTTCATACTAATTTGTCAGTAGATTAAAAGTCCTCCTGCTAATGCCTACAGCTGCGTTTCACAAGTGAACAGAAGAAGAATTACGAATGCTGCAGCACTCACTGCAAAGATGCAGGCTTCCAGACATACTGAAACAGTGTGATCAGCATCCAGAAAGAGATCGCTTGGTCACACAGGTTCTTAGAGAACAGACTTGAAAAAGAGCAGAGGAAAAATATCTGGAAATCAGCTGTCGATTTATCCTGAGAGCATTTCCAGGAGAGGAAAAAAATGAAATCAATTTTAAATAGCACCATTATCTTATTAAAGAGACCTGCCTTAACTAATTTAGTATTGAGTATTATAGAACCTAGGTAGGTATTCAAACAGGAATAATTTTCTTCTTGCTTTCAGTATCGATACGGAGTAATGAATAAACTTTATTATGAATCGTTTAAAACTAAAGGGATTCCGACTGCTTAAAAAACACCAGCAAGGAAAAACATTTTCTCATGCATTACCTACTGCCCCACACTTGTACACTCCACCCTGAATCAACGCTAGAAACGAGCCAAAGAGCAATGAATGAAAATGCAAGCTCTTAAAAAGTTTGCTTTCAGAAATGAGTCTTTGTCGTGTGAGAAATCTCCCCTGAGCCAACAGGCCAGATTCAATCTGAGCCACCAATATCATCGTAAAGCCCTAGGAATTCCTTAGCAAACACAGCAGCAATCAGCAAGCAGTATACATATTCCAAAACATTTAAAAACATTCCTTGTAAGTGTACTTCAGTAAGGCCCACGAGCAAAAAGATTCAGCTCTAGAATTTCCTGTAAAACTGAGCAGCAGTAATGCTTCAGTCTCCCAAAGGCATCCAAAACTCCACACATTACTACTCCAGCGCCTTGTATATGATTAACTCGTTGCTTTTTATAATTATTCAATAATTATTTTTCCATCAATTCTTAAGTGGATTAGTGCTACAAGTCTCTCATCGCAAAGCTTTCTTCTCCTCTCCTCTAGGTTAGAAGAAAACAGTTAAGAGGTTTAAAAGCAGACACACAGTGATCCAAGAAACAGAGAAAACCGGAGAGGTTTCTTACCCTTCATTAGGTACAGAAATGAGTCCTACTTTTCTAAAATAAAAGAAAATAAGATCTGCAGCCCCTTAGCAAACCTCAGCAATTAGATCGCCTATTGAGCCAAAGAGGTCTAAATCAGCATCTAATGGAAAATCGCTAAATAAATCTCACGTAGCAGGGAGTCATGTGACGGCCAGCCCGAAGTATCTCTCGCAATGTCATTTACACAAACTCTTTGTGTATAAACAACCGCGTTTGTGTATTCCCTCTCCGCGCGGTTTTAAATACAAATACGGAGAGGCTTTAGAAGAAAGGCAACGTTACGGGTGGCCCGCCCTGCTCGTAGCACACGGCTAATTTCGGATTTTCAAATACGATTTTCCAAACGCGAGGATATGCCGCATTAAATACAGCGGCATCAGAGGTCGGTCGGGAAAAGAGACATTTTAGACAGCCGGGCTGCTTGGAAGAAGAGAAAGCAAAGCAACCACGTGTGTTACTCAGAATCACCCTTAGCACTCCCTGAACGCGAAACCGACCGGCAGCGAGATAGCAGAGTATGAAAGTTACGGCACCGCAGAGAACTGCGGGATCGCTGCAAAAGTAACGCCGAAGAGTTCAGCTGTCAGAGCTGAACCTCGTACGTGCGTCCCCTTCCCCTTTACACCCCGTCGAGCGCTGCCAAACGCAGCCGGCAGCACCTGGGCTCTCCCAGCCGCGAACGCCGCGTGCCCACCGCGCAAAGCCGCACCCGGAGCCGCCCGCCCCGCTCGGGCCCGGCCGCCGTTTCCCGAAGCTCGGAGCCGAGCCAGGCGCCGCACGGCCGGGCCGAGGCTTTCCCGCAGGACCCCCCCGCGTTCCCGCGCCCCGCAGCACGGTTATACCTCCCACGGGCTTGGCGACGGCGCCGTTGGGCCTCCCGCGCGTGCCCATGGGGCTGCCGTTCTGCTCCAGCCTGGCCACCTTCCCGGGGGGGGGCCCTTTGACATCGGGGCTGCCGCTGCCTCTGTCGGGGCTGTCCCGCAGGCAGGGGCTCTCGCTCCTCCGCTCCATGCTCGGGGACGCGGCTCCCGCTGGCAAGTCGCAGTAGAAGGAGCACGGACCTAGGGTGAAAAAAACGAGGGGGCTTCAGACGCCGCCTCCTCCCGGGACCCCGCGGCTCCCGGCGGGTCGAGGCCGGGCGGACTCCGGGCAGCCCCCGCGGGCAGGTGCCGCGGAGCAGGGGAGGGGAGAAGCAGCCTTCCCCCGCGCCGCCCGCCGCGGACCGCCGGGCCCCGCCGCCGTACTTACTGCTTAGAGCCTGGCTGTAAGTTGGCTGAGTTGGGCTCTGTCCATGGATCAAAAGTAGAGAATCCAGGGTGGAAAGTTTTCTCGGTTCCTCCTCGCGCGCCGCTTTCTTCCCTTCTCCCGCTCCCCCCACCCTTAGCCCCCTCCTCGCCCTCGCCCCGGGCTGCGGGGCCGAAGCCCCCTCCCGGCGGGTCCCGGGCGGCGGACGGAACGGAGCGGAGCGGGCGGGAGGGGGCGCGGGGCGGGGAGGCGCGGGGCCGCCGCCGCCGCGGTGCGGAGCGGAGGGCTGAGAGAGGCGGATCCGCGCCCGCGTTGAGAGCGGCGAGCGCCGAGGGCGGGAGGCGCGCGGCGCCCCGCAGAGTCGCTCCCGAGCGGCGCGGGAAGCGGCGACCCCGCGGCGTCGCTTTCAATCTCTCCCTCCTCTGCCGGCGACGGCAGCGGCGGGAGGGACTCGCCGCGGAGAGCGGAGGAGCGATTATCGGCGGCGTTGAATCATCGAGGCGAAGCGAGTCCCGCTCGGGGCCGTCCTCGCGTTCGGATTTGGTGCGTGTGCGCGCGTGTGCGTGTGCCTGACCGTGTGTGTGCGCGGCGCGGCCGTCCCAGGGCTGTGCATCCCAAACACCGCCACCCCGCCTCGCCCCCACAGCCCTCCCCCTGCCCGCCCCCCCGCAAAAACCGCGCCGCGGGGCTCGCTCGGGCCCGGGCGGCGGCGCGGACGCCGGTGGGAGGCAGAGACCCACCTGGCGGGGAGCGGAGCGCCTGGGCATGGAGCGGCGCGCGCGGGGACAGAGAACGGAGTGGAGCCGGACGGGGGGAAGAAGGGAGCGGGGAAAGGGCAGAGCGACGGGATGGGGTGCCGGCAGGCGAGCGGGGCAGGAGGGCGCGGGGACGGGGCAGCGGGGCGGGGGGAGGGCCGAGGGGCAGGGGTGGAGGAGGAGCTGGGAGAAGGAGAAGAAAGGGGGAGAAAGAGAAAAAAAAAAAAAAAGAAAACAAAAAAGAGAGAGAAGAGAGAAGAGGATAAGCCGGAGTTGAGGAGCGGGGACCGACCGGGCAGGAGCGGAGCTGCCACCGGCATCCAGCCCCGGCACACGCTCGGTCCCACGCAGCCTCCGCCGCCCCTCTGCCAGGAGCCGGAGGCCGGCAGCGGCTGGCCCGGCCAACGTAGGGCCCCGCCGGCGCCCGGCTGCAGGCGGTTACCGAGCGAGCCCTGAATAATTGATGGCGGGGCCGGGAGGAGGTGAGAGGCGGCCGGGAGCGGCTGCTGCCGCCGCTGAATTATTGAACAGCGGAACCGCGGGCAGCGCAAGACGCGCGGGGATGAGCGGGCGGGGCTCCGGAGGGGCGCGGTGCGGGCCCGGTGCAAGGTGCGGCGCTGCCCGGCAAGGCCGTGCCCGCAGGCGCGCCCCGAGGGCTCGCAGCGCCCCCTGCCCGGTCCGGGGCCGCCGGAGCCCCGCGCCCCGAGCTCTCTCCGCCCGCCACCGGCGGAACGAGCACCGCGTTAAGGTGGAGCGGGGAAATCGCCGCCGGAAGGCTCGGGCGGACGGCCGGGGGAGAAAAGCGGCGGACGGCTCCGGTGCCCCCCGCCCTACTCCCCCGCCCGTCCGCCGCTCTGCTCTCCGCTTTGCGAGTGCCGCCCTCCACGCCACCCTCCTCACCGGGCCCCCTTAAGAGCCGTGCCTTTTACGGTGGCGCCGGAGGGTCAAAACAAAAAAAAAGAGAGAGAGAGAGAGAAAGAGAGAGAGACAGAGAGAGAGGGGGCTGCGGGGGGGGTGGGGAAAAAAATTGGCACCGGCGGACCCCGCCGCGCTGCCCCGGGCTGAGCTCCGAGCGGTGGGGACGGCCCCGGTGAGCACTCGGTCGTCCCGGCGCGGTGCAGGGAGCGATGTCAGAGAAGCGGCGGACCGCGGCAGGGTAAGAGACACCGCTCGGCCCCGCGACTCCCACCCCCGTCCCGAAAAGCGGCTCCGCCACCGCGGCTGCAGCACTCGCGGCTGCACCCCCAGGCATGGCAGGGCAGAGCGGGGCACCGCCGCCGTGTCGCTGCCCCAGGCCGGGACAGAGCGAAGCCGCGAGAGCGGGTCTGGGCATCCCGCGGGGCCCATCCTCTCCCGTCGTGAAGCAGCCCCGTAGCTGGGAGAAGTGCCGCTTTTCCTTTTGAAAAACCCGAGC